GGGATGCGCCGGGGTGGCTCCCCAGGGACCGGCAGGCCCAGCTCCGCGCCCCGGCGGCTCTGGTGCTGCCTGCACCCGGGGCCCTGCGACGAGTCTCCCTGTAATTTGTACCCAAATGCATCCAGAAACGGATGGGGACCATGTGGTTATGAACAGAGTGCTTGCTAGTAGTAATAAAACCTCCTCTCTTTCTCTCTCCAGGCGTTTTACTAGCTGCCGTTCAGCGTAACCGGATGGCTTTAAGCAAATTTCGTCTCTGAGTGCCCTTGAAACTTGCATCTGGAGCAGGAAAGACGGCTGTTGGCCCCCTCTCCCTGTGCTGACAGGGCTGGGCGGCCGATGTGACAAAGTCCTTTCGTGCACGTTTCTGTAGCTTCCTTACAGCCCTTCGGAGCTCAGCAGGCTCCCTTGCAGTCAATGGGAGCCTCTTTTCTGTTTGTTTTATAGACGCTCCAAGGAGTCTCTCTGATTCATGGGGTGGGACGGTCAAAATTAGAAATCGATGTGTCATTGCAACTAAACCAGCAATCAGGGAGCTAGGCAGGACCACACAGTCTTAGCCCTGTCCAGGAACCTCAGTGAATAATTGTCTTTAAATTAATTGCAACTTACACCACAAAGGACACAGTAGTCAGAACATGGGTATGGAGCAGGGAGAGGGAGGGAATGACATTTCCTCTAAAGGAGACTGTCTCGGAGACGTCAGCTTTTTGGAGCTTTTTTCACGTTCACTTTTGCACTTTTAAGACAACAGAGTTGCACCAGTAGATGCAAGTGTTACCAGCAGATTAAGGTCCTGATAATGAGGGGTTTTATTACAAGGTCATTGCATCATGCTGGTGGGTGCGAGTTGTTACCCTCTGCTGTGTCTTGGGTATCTGCTGTGAATGAAATCAGTCATTCAGCTCCTTTCCTGATAACTTTGCTCGCGTCCCGGAACTGCCATCGTTCTGGCTTGCTTTGGCTCAGAGGCCACGAGCTGAGTCCTCTCAGCTGGGGCTGAGCAGCACCAGGACAAGAAACCCAGCGTCATGTCTCCCCCTTAGCTATGGACTAGGCCTTCCTGTGGGTACCTCCCCATCCCCTTCTGCCAAAAGTCTCAAAATCACAGGATTTTGTAAAAGTTGAACTCTTGTTAAAGCCTGAGCTCCCCAAAACAAGAACTCGCCTACTTTTGAAAAGGCACGATCTTAATACAAAGAAATAGCTCTCCCACAGAGCCGCTAAAGGCAGGTGTATAGCAGCAAATTCGCGGTCTGCGAGGCACTCGGGGCTTTCTCACATTTTACCAGCAGTACAAATGAGCTGCCAGTGCCACTTGTACTCACTACCACTGAATTTCTTCTCTAATAAAAGAGTTGGCGTGGCGTTATCTTGCCAAGCAGTTACCAGCTAGTTTATTTCATTTGTATCCAGCTGCTCCAGCCTTGTCTGTTTCTTAAAAATCTTTTATTTTACTTTTAGATAACATTTTCCTGGTTTTCAGCTGGCTCCTACTGAACCCCTCATCCTCCGCATTCAAATGAAACCTCTTTCTCTAATGATGTTCAGTGTGGTTTTGAATGTTGAAAACTCTCAGTTGTTTCCTAGTTCTATAATTGATGGTTGTGTTATTCTGACAGATTTTTGCAACAATACTTAGAATTAATTTGCCTAAGCTTTACGAAATAAATAACCAATCCTTATAGCAATCTATAAGGAAGTAAGTACTACCTACCTTTTACAGCTGTGAGAATGAGTCAGAAAAGTTATGTGCTTTATTAAAGTCAAATTTGCACTGAGTCAGGGAGTTAGAAGAAAGCACTTCTGGCCCCCCACCTATGCTTAGATCAGTAGGTCACTCCCTGTATATTATTTTGTGTTGTATTGAAAAGGTTTCTTTCCATTTGGCAGAACAGCGATGCAGCATATTATTGTTTCACTTCTCTAGTACTTTTGGCCTTTATGCAGCAATTTTCCATCTCGAGCTTTCCAAGTGCTTTTGAAACTGAAGGCATCAGATGTTAAACATATCAGAGCAAATGCTCTCCTGCCCCAGCCCTTGCTGTGCGTGTTCAACCAAAGGAATTCGCTGCCACATTGACCCCGGGGTTCAAAAATGGCTCTTTATTTCCAATGGGAATTTTTCAGGCGCTGGAGCAGCTCAGCACACAGGTCATGTTGCAGCTCAGCAGGACTGCATGCCATAAGAACATCCTAGCTTTTAAACATAATGAAAATGCTTAGAGAAAAGAGATTGTTTGGAGAGAAAAGAGAAAAGTTTGGAAGGCAGACTGCATCATGGCAGCACCTGGGACCATCGAGTAGCGGCTGCAGCTGGAAACGAGGACCTGGCCGAACGGCCAGGATCGTTATAGCGGTTTACAGCAACAGCGGATGAAGCCGGGAGAAGAACCTGCTCTCAGACACCTATTAAAAGAAAGGCAGAAACAACACTCCCTTGTTCAAAAATACCAGCATGCTCATTCCAGTGCTAATTCGGGTTCTTGGGCTTGTCTCCAGGCGGGGATGCTGCAGAAGTCCTTCCCTGGAGACTTGTCGAAGCGGAAGAAAAGCAACCGCAGGCCGAGAGATCACGTGTCCCGGCCACTCTGCTGTGACTGTCCCCTCTTCAGAGGGTAACCCCACCAGCTCCAATTTCCCTAGCCTCCCGTCCGGGCACGAAGCGAGACTTGTGGCTCTATCCGTCATCTGCTGTCTAGGATCGGAATATTTTGTTGTGCTGCTATTGTTCATTTTATTACCCCTGCGTGGAGGAGCGTTTGTTTATGAAGCTTGTAAGAGGGTGTTAGCCCGCCAGATTTCCAGGCGGTGCGGGGGAAATCAAACTTCTGCTTGTGTCAGATTGTTTGCAGTTTGCTGTAGCTCGCAACCAGCTGTCCCTAGATAGCTCATTTTCATCCTGGGGTGAATGCCAAATTTTAGCATTAACTGCAGGGTCCCACAAGGCACCAAAGCGAACAGCTGAGGACCAGCAGCAGGGTGTGGAATGGGATCCAGAGGTAACATCTGACCCTGGTGAAAACACAGCGGAAAACAGCTCCCTTCTGCGGGTAGGCAGGCTGCGGCGCGGAGGCCCCATCACAGGAGCGGAGGCCGCGTCCCATATCATTATGTGGGAAGTTGACTTCATCCCGTAATTTCTGGGTCCCTCCTCTTTTGCACAGGCCAAGTTAACACCACTGCGCGCACTGCGAGAGGTTAAAGGACTACACGTTTCTAGGAAATTTGAATCGAGAATGTCTAGAGGCAGTAACTGCAGTTTAGAGTCATTTAACAATCGATGTACTTTCCATGCAATAGCGGGCTTGTTTCTGGTTACCGGCATATGGTCCTTACCCCGGGGAGCTGGACGGTAATTAATGCTTTTTGTGGTTAAACGTTTGGACTCAGCATCTCGCAGCGCCCGAGGGGAGCGGAGGTAGACAAAGCACACATTGTCTGCAGGTTTCCCCGGGCTGCGCTAGGTCCTCTAAATTAAGGCACGGTGGGAGCAGGTTGGCAGGAAAGCTGACACAGGCAGAGTTTTCAGCTCGCTCCCTTTAGCGCAGCTGAAACACTGAGAAAGTCAAACCGGCATCTCTGCTCATTCGGAGGTGATATGCAAGGAGGGGGAAAGGAAAATTGGCTCGGAGGACCACACATACAACGCGAGTAATTGAACG